ACCTAAGAGGGGTACACTTGCCGGGCTGCAGCAGCGCCCCTTTGCGCCTGCGGCGCTGCGGGTGGAATGAAGCAGAAATTGTGGCTGAGGCTGCAGCTCCCTAGTGTATGCTGGGGGCCCCCCCAAGGGGCCCCCTGCTCTACGGGCCCCAAGGGGTCCCCGGGGGACCCCCCAGGGGCCCCCACAGCCGCCCCAGAGGGGCCCCTGGGCACCGGCCAAGACGCCTGGAGTTAAGAACCTGTTTGAGGTCTTTTGTTTTCTCTTGTTTCTGCTGTTTGTTGATGCTAGTTGGAGTGTATGTACACCCCAGCTGGCTGTCTGTACACCGCAGCGGTGTCTGCGGCTTTATCTTAACTTCGGTTTCCACATTCCCAAATGCGTGCAGTGTACATACACCTGGCTGCAACTGCCCCACACTGCTGCGCGTACACCGGAAGCTGCACGTACACCCGAAGAGCGCTGCAGCGCTGCGCGTGGGGTGTACGTGCACCGCAGAGGCAGCAGGCAGCGCCTTTGGGGCTTCTGTTGCATTTGATTGCATGCAGCTGAAGCCTCGTCAGTTCAAAACTTTAATTAGGACATTAGGACTGGGCTTTTGCCTTCAAATGCATGCAGAAGGAGTGAAAATACAATTATTGAAAGCAGCTATTTGTGTGCAAGTGTAAATAAAGAAATTATTATATGTTTTTGCGCTTAAATGACGCAAAAGGCTTTTGTAGTGTATCATGATGAGCCCACGCTGGGGTGTATGTACAGACAGCACAGTGGCTCTGCCTCTTAGTTATTGAAGTGCACATAAATGTAATCCTGTACAAACATAAGTAAAAAGCATAAATAAAGATATATTTAAATATATTTATATGTACATATGTGCATTTATTTATATATATTTCCTTCTTCTACGGGCTGCATGCAAGCTGCATGCGCGCCGCTCAAAAGGGGCTACGAACAGCGCATGCGTGCAGTGTACGTTCACCCTACGAACCCCGCACAAGCTGCGCACTCGGGTGTACATACTTCACTTTTTTTAAACTCATTTTAGTCAATTTAAGAGGGCATTTGGGCCCTTCAAATGCGGGACTTGGCCCGCATGTTACCCAGGAGAAAATGAAATAATGCAAAGTGAAATTTAAGGGACTTTTCCGCTTCAAAAATCCTCCAAAACAGAATAGAAAAATCTGAAATGAAACGTTTGAAACTTTTGCTGCCCCTGAGAGTGGGGG